GAATTCACCCCAGGTGCAGGAGTAACCGCCATACTCGTCGGTGGGGAGCTTGTCACCCTTGGCAGCACCCCAGCCACCCTGAGAGTCATCGTCGAAGGCGACGTAGCGAGAGGTACCGGGCTTGATGGTCAGGGTCAGAGCAGAGTTGCCGTACCAGCCGTTCAGACCTCCATCGGGTCCGATCTTGTTCCAGAAGACGACGGTCCAGTCGTCAGTCTCACTGCCGTCAATGCGGACGACGTGCTTGTACTGGCAGGCGTTCGAGGCGTCGACTTCGATGATGTTGCTACCCCAAGGGCTGCCGACATTGCCGGTGTAGTAGATGGCGTTGGTGGTGCGCTTGCTGACTGTGGACTTGCCAAAGCCGGCACGAGAGTAATCGCCGGACGAGAGGGTGTCGGTCCAGCTCGAGCAGGATCCACTAGCAGTGGCTGCGCCGGAAGAGCTGGAAGCAGAAGGAACCGCCGAGACGGAAGCAACGACGGAGGCGGCCACGGAGACAGTAGCGGCAGCTTCGACAGACACCTGAGTAGTGGCAGCCTCAGAGACAGTGGTAGCGGCGACACCGGACCACTCGTTGATCCAGGAGACCTTTTGACCGTCGATAGTAGCGACGACGACATCGCCGACGTCACGCTTGTCGTTGTGGTGGTGACGGCGTTCATGGCCGTGCAGGCGAGCAGTAGCGGAGCCAGCCGTCAGAGCGGCCAGCAGGAGCATGGAGTTCTTGAGCTGCATGATGTTGGGTTGATGAACAATGAACTGAATGGGTATCACAGGTGTTGTATTGGAACAAAGCAACCGGGTTCAGGGTACACGATTGATGAAAGAGAGTGAGTAGATTGGAAGTAATGAATGACGCGAGCAACACCAATAGGGACGCTCAGCCTTGAAACAAACACACACAAAGGAGTGAGATGTGTACCCGAGAAGGAGAGCAAAGCAGTTGCAGAGCAGAGAGGGAGAGAGAGAGGAAGAGGAAGGGAAGAGCCGGGGGGAAAGAGGAGATAATAATAAGAAAAGCCAGAGGGGGGGAGGAGATGGAAAGGCCAGGCCCAGATCGTGGAAGGGGAGTTTCCCATTCAGTTCGTTACCATCGTTCCTTTCTTTCACTCTGCATGGTTTTTTCACTTTTTCCCGCATCAAACGGTCCTCTTCGTATCAAGTTGGACCTGTAATTGGATTTCATTAAATTAAAAGGGGGTCGATCAGGGGAGTCACTTGGCTTTGGGGGCGACTGATTGGTTGAAGACGAGCATCGGTTCCTGAGCTTGCCGTTCGGATGCTGCAAAATGGCGTGTCATTGGTGGGATGGCCCCCACTTGGGGTCTAAACCCAAATCCTTCTTTCGTCTGCAAATACAGAGTACAGCATGGATACCTCGATATAGCATGGTTGAAACTCGATTTATTGACCCAGTAAACACAATAATTACCCACTTATATTCTACGTTCGGATAAGGCCCGACTGTTAGCATACCCATTTAGCAGGTAGTATAATGAATAACATCACCAGTCAATGGTAGATAGGATATGCTTTGTAGGTCGAGACTCGCAATCCCTGGAACCGCCCCGCCGATCGCGCCTGCCGTTGTACAATACCGTACGGTGCCTGGTACCTTACAGATGCACTCAGCACTTTGTGCTGCATCGTGTTCAGGTACACACTCCAACAAGTCTACACCGTCTCTTGACTTACTAGTGATGCTGAGAATCCCAGCATGTCAACAATCCAGAGGAAGTGAATTCCGTGGATCTCATCGCCTAACGATCGATCAGTGGACGCCTCACGATAGGGCGGGGTTTGATTAGATGCATGGAATCCAGCTGGAATGCTGCCCGATCGCAAGAATCCGACAGAGTAAATCGCACTGCTTATTGATACGTCATTTCGAACCAATATTCTACTGTTCAATTTAATTTCACTCATGAACAAGTCACTTCAACTTCAGTCATTGTTGCTTGGTCGAATCCCGGCCTCCCTGCCGGTTACCCAGGAACGAGCCAGCCCATCGCCACGTCAAGACCCACGTTGGACAGTGATTTGATCCGATGGACTGACAGTGGATGAATACAGGCCAGACCGTGAGATTGCACACCGTAAGACTGGAGCCTGCGTTCGGGTGGAAAGGCAAGGCAGGCAGTGACTTTTGCTCTCACTGCATCCACCTTGAATCGTTACGGTAATTTTGGTATTTTGGTATAGCTTCAGGTAAAAAAGGGCTTGCAGGACCCTTAGGGGTCCTGCTGTTTTGCCCACCAAGTGACCCTGAATGCCACGGCTTAAGCCCAATTTGGCCCTGCCGCGGACCCTGATCAGGACCCCCAAAATCCAGGGACGGCGGCAAGCGGAATTCCAAACATCCTGCGCAGCCATGGTCAGCATCCCCAAACAACAACACCAACAATCGAGTTTTGCTGTCTGTATCGAAATCACTGGTCATCCCATGGACCATCTGGTCAGCGGGCCACTAGAGTTTAGCACAGCGACAACTCGGTAATCTTCAGCCCGTGTCCGAGTCCACCCCAAATGTCATTGCCTGTTGTTGGCCCGTGACCGGCAAGTCTGGGTAACGATAGCCGCTTAATCCACCGAGGGGGTGCGACCTGCCAGGTTCTGGCCACCGAAAACTGGCTGGACTATCGAACGTTGTCTTGGATTTTATGGGAACTAGCTCTTGCACTCATAGGAGAGCGTTGTTCTATACCTCTCTATCTATACTACTTTTTTCACATGTAAATAAATAGTGTTTCCCTGGGTCTCTGTCCCATGGATGCCGACGGAACCCTCTTCTCGGTTGGCAGGAATTGCTGACTTTCCAACAGTAAGCCACGTTCGGCCCTCAATATCAGCCGACCACTTCCTGGATGGGCTGAGAATCTCCTTTTCGGTCTGGGGGCCCTCTAAAATTAGAGGCCAGCTGCCCTGTTCGAAACGAGGAGCGGATACTATTCCTGTCGCGGAGAGCGACTCGTCAGCTTCAATTTGGGGCCCGATGATCCGGCGTGACTAAGCGCCTCCTTTCGGATCCCGTGTTGTTGACCTGATTAGGGTTAGACGATTGCCTATTTGGTGCTCAGTCAGCATCATTCAATCAGTGGCAACAGTTAGTACTGAGCTATCTACAATCTCATTTTATCGCTATATCCTCGAGACGAACAGCCTCCATGTCTTACTGCTCTCCGGGATCAGATCAAATGAAACATATTTACATCTATACAATTATGTTCTAAGCCTCAAGTAGGCTCCAAGGTATGTACTGCGCAAATAAATCATCCAACTACTTCAGGTCCACCCCACCGTCGAAAGCAGCACCCCCCGCCTGCGCATCCACCTTCATGCTCTCATCCAATCCACACACACGGAAGAGCATCTGTGGTGTCATCTCCTTGTCCAACCCCGGGATGCCATCCCTCTTCAACTTCTCCATCGCCTCGCGCATCGCTGCAACGGCAGGTCCCAAAGCCGCGAATGGGAAGATGATAATGCGGAAGCCCATCTCCTTGGCCTCGGCCGCTGAGATCGACGGCGTGGCCCCGTGCTCCACCATGTTCAATAGCAACGGCCACCCCGCCAGGTCCTGAATCACTTGCCGGGCCATCTCCCTGGACGTAATCCCCTCGAGGAATCCTACATCCGCGCCTGCATCGCGCGCGGCCCGCAGTCTTGCGACGCTCTCCTCATAACCGTGGGTTTGAAGGGAATCCGTCCGGGCGATCACAACAATATCGCTACCGATCCGCTGGCGAGCCTGCACTGCTGCCCGAATCCGCGTCACGTATGTCTCCCTGTCCACGAGTATCTTGCCAGCAAGATGTCCGCAGCGCTTCGTCTGAACCTGGTCCTCAAGGTGGAAGGCGGCGACTCCAGACCGCGAGTATTGCTCGGTCGTGCGCGCGACCATGATGGGGCCGCCGTAGCCGGTATCTGCGTCGGCAATTACGGGAGTGCTAGGGGAGATGTTGGAGATCATTTCGGCGTTGGCGCGCATGTCGTTGAGAGTGCAGATGCCCAAGTCTGCTTGGCCGTGAACCGAGGCAGCGGTACCAGCACCGGTCTGTAAGGATTGATGAGCCGGTTGACCAGCATTTAAAGATGGTGACATTCGCCACTTACCATGTACAGAGCGTCGAAGCCCGCGGAAAGGGCGACACGAGCCGACAGTCCATCGTAGACTCCGGGGGCGACAATGAAGGAGTCAGGGTTCTCCAAAGCCCGTCGCAGGGTGGTAGCTGCAGTTACCATAGGCATGATGGCGGTTTGTAGAAGAAATGTCGGTCAAAAATGACAACGTTCTATGAAGTTGTAAAGGATGTGCCGATGACGTCGAGACTTGTTGCTGTTGAGACTTGAGAGGACGGCGCTGGTGGCTTTATAAATGTGAACTCGCGTGGGCTGACAGTTATCGCCTCCCGCAATCGCTGCAAGTAGTGATTTATCTGTGATCTAGACGCCTTCTTTCGCCTCCGAGTCTGCGATGGAAGAAGAATTTAAAGGTGAAGCCATGGGAGCCCACCCGACATCGGCGGAGGTTAGGTAATCCCTCGGGGATGATTCGGGATTTGAGCATGACTCGGTAGTAGCCGATCCTGTCAAGTTTGCTGCAGATCGTCGAATCATCTATGCTACATAGTATGCGAATAGTTAATTATCACGAATTGGTGCTATCCTTCTAGATAGCTAATAGTATTCTTCCGAGCCCTGTTACTATATTATATTTTCCCGTACTCCGTAGTGCTGAGCTTATATCGCGGGCTGCAGGGATTCCAATTCGCGGCCAACCAGCGCAGGTGATCGTCGGCTTTTTCTGCCGCGAACTCGAACTCCAAACTGCACTTCCGTTTCTCTTCGGCTCTTCTTCTCCCCGCCACGTCCATTTCGCCTCCACATCCGCTCTCCGCGCATGCCAGCATGATCTGAACTCTGACGCGCCTATTCTTCGTCTCCGATCGGTCCCCCTCGACTCTATTTCCTCACACAGCCCTCCGATATCGATCCTCATGGCCCGCTCCGCCATTGTCCAAGAATACGCCCCTCCGTCCTCCGCACCCACCTTCTCCGTCGACCGCAAAGTCACCCACGAACGCCAACAAAATGGCATCTCTCGCCCCAATGGATATCGCGTCTCCTGGCACGCCAATCCCGCCGTCGAACCACACCACTTCGGCCAGTCTCATCCCATGAAGCCATGGCGTCTGACCCTCACCAAGCAGCTGGTCATGGCCTACGGCATGCACCATGCGATGGACCTCTACCTGGCGCGCGCAGCCACCTACGAAGAGCTGGCCGACTTCCACAAATCAGATTATCTTGATTTCCTCAAGCAAGTTGTCCCCGGCGACATGGAGAACCCTGAACAAAGCGAGAACATCGCGCGCTTCAACTTCGGTGACGACTGCCCCATCTTCGACGGCCTCTACAACTACTGCTCCCTCTACGCCGGCGGCACCATCGACGCAGCCCGCAAGCTCTGCAACAACCAGTCGGAGATCGCAGTCAACTGGTCCGGTGGCCTACATCACGCCAAAAAAGCCGAAGCCAGCGGTTTCTGCTACATCAACGACATCGTCCTCGGTATCCTGCAGCTCCTCCGCCTGCACCCGCGCGTCATGTACATCGACATCGACGTCCACCACGGCGACGGCGTCGAACAAGCCTTTTGGTCCACCGACCGCGTCCTCACCGTTTCCTTCCACAAATACGACAAGGATAACTTCTTCCCCGGCACCGGTGGCCTCGACAGCACGGGGCCCACGCATCCCCTCAACCCAGGCGCCCACCACTCCGTCAACGTCCCCCTCCACGACGGCATCGACGACGAATCCTACATCCAACTCTTCCGCGACGTCGTCGGCTCCTGCGTCGAAGTCTACCGCCCCGGCGCCATCGTCCTTCAATGCGGTGCCGACTCCCTCGGCTGCGACCGTCTCGGCTGCTTCAACCTGAACGTCGCCGCCCACGGCGCCTGCGTCGCCTTCGTCAAAACCTTCAACCTCCCACTCCTCGTCGTTGGCGGTGGCGGTTACACCCCGCGCAACGTCTCCCGCGCCTGGGCCCACGAAACCTCCATCCTCATCGACGCCCAAGATACCATCGACCCTCACATCCCCGAAACCGTCACCTTCCGCAACCACTTCGGCCCCGACTTCTCCCTCTTCCCACCCCTCTCGGAAATGCGCAAGCTCGAGAACAAGAACCCTCGCACTTACCTCGCCGGCTTGCTCCAATCCATCCGCGAACAACTCCGATATATCCAAGGTGCTCCGAGCGTGCAAATGAGCTTCATTCCTCCGGATATCCTCGGTCTTCGCGAAGATACAGAGAAGGAAATCGAAGAAGAAACGGCCATGATGGATGAGGAACGCGAAGAACGATCTGGTGGTGGTAGCTTAGGGAAGTCGAGTCGACGGAGAGATTTGGAGAGAGGTGCTGGACAGCGGGGGGAGCTTTTCTGATACCTACCCTATTCATACCCTCTTTCCTTGCTTCGGGTGTCTGTCTCGCATTTACTTATCTGGTTCGTTTTGGGAGTTGGTGGTTGGAATCTATCGGGCTGGATGATGGCGTTTTATTCTCTTTTAACTCTTGTCTAAAATTCATCTAATCACGTTGTTTATACGTTTCTTTTTTGTGGATGATGGGCTTGGGTTGTGTGCTGCTTATAGAAATCATACTTCTGTATTAGAGGGTAGGAGGAGGGGGTGGTGGTATAATACCGGGCGTGTCTTGTACGCTACAGGTGCTAGAAAGTGTCTTTAAAAGAAAATAAGAAACATCAAGACATATATAATTGACAGTGTTGTGTAGCTAGCTGTTTTTGGATCCTTAGTAGGAAAGAATATTATGGAAGTTTCCTGGGTGGGAGAGATTCAGGGTATTTTCATTGTCTTTGGGACCTCACACCATACATTCGTCGTAGGAAGTAGCAGGGAGGTAGCTATAGGAAGAATGATAATACAAGGTTCATGAGTGGATGAATAAGAGAATGAATAATGATTAGAGGTCATTGATAGTATTCAATTACTTAAAGATGATGAAACATTATCTGCATCTGATATAGATCTAACAGATCTAGGATTCAATCAGATCAAAGCCGACGCCAACTGGATGCATACGTATTGCTTAATCGTAAGCTTAAGCTAAGCTGACTATAGCCAAGCGAGCGTCCACAAAGCCGGCAGATGAGGCCATTTCTCCTGCCACTCAGCAAGAATATCAGGCACGCGAGCATCGAAATTCCGTCTCGCCTCGCCGACTCCATTCTCCCATCCATCGGCACCACTGGCCTTTCTCTCCTGCGAAGCAGCCTCATTTAACCGATTCGCTAGATCCAAGATAGCCTTGCCTCCTACTAACGCCTCTTCGTGATTATCTTTGATATCCACGTTAAAGACATGCACGGGGCGGTTCAAAGGGGACCCCTTATTCATGAGATCGTCTACCACGGCATCCCAGCACCGCTCTTCACAGGTGATGATTACATCGACAACGCCGCCTTCGGTACCTAGGGCGCCCTTATCGCCCTTCGAGACGTGCTCGACGCGCGGCTGTCCCGGCACCCAGTCCTGGAAGCGCTCCGGGCCCCATTTCAGGTTACGGTTGCGCTCGAGCATGTTCAGGAGACCGTTGTTGCGGTACAGACGCTCGTCTTTGGAGAGCAGCTCGTCGTACATTTGAGAGTAGGAGGTTGTGTTGAAGTTGTAGACGTTGGGTTGGGTGATTGAGGGCCCGGGCAGGCGGACTAGAGAGCCCGTCCCGAAGGAGATTACAGGGAAGGGGCTCGACGCTGTGGAGAGCCGGAGGTGGGCTTCCATGGAGCGGTTCTGGTTAGAGGCACATACGGTGCAGAATCGGAGTTTATATGAGGATGATGATAAGGACTCCGATTCTGCGACCGCGTTGTTGTTGGCCTCGTTCGGCGTGGAGGTGGGTTGAGGTTGGGTTGTTGGTGTTGTTGTTCCGCCAATGGCTTCTGGGGGTGGTGGGGGTGGTGGTGGAGGGGAGGGAGCGGTCGCAGTGCCTGCACTGGACAGTCGGGGGTCGTAGGCCATGATGATGAGTGTTATAGCCGCGTTTGGTGTGACCGTAGGTTAGGTTTAGGTGGTGTGTGATGAATTCGGTAAGTGATCGTTGGGGGGTATCAAGGAGGCTGGAAGGTGTGTTGTTCACTAGTTAGGCCCTGTAATGACTACTGACAATTAGAATCCGCGGCAGAAACAAATTCAATGGCAGTGACAAAGAAGTAGAGTGTAAGGGGTGCAGGATTCAGTAAAAAGTTGCGTAATTAAGTTTGTCCGCATAATGTGCTAAGACAGCTCCAATATATAAAAGATTTCATCATGCTGCGGGAGGAATTGGGATTGGACTAGATGGATGCATTGCATATACATACCTTAGAAAAGCCTCGCATCATCTGCAATTCATTTACGCTGGTTCTACTGGGTGTGGGATGGATGTTGTTGATGAAGGGCCGCAGCCCTGAGTTGACAAGGTGAAGAAGTTTGCGTCGGCGGATTTCGCGCGCCTTTTGTGGTCATGTGCGCTGACTAAGCCGCGTGCTGCTCACTATGCCCGATTGGGACAGCTCGAGCATGGATGGCGATGGAGGCTGGGCATTTCTCTTGACTGAGAGTCGGGCTTGGCTTTTGTTACTGCGGAGTAAATTGCATCCTATCTGAATTCTGAGGTTTGCTAGGCTGTTCGAGATGAGTACCAACATGGTATCTATCGACATGATCCTTCCCAGATGAATACTTCGTACCATCGAGCGGGGTCTAAGAACTAGTCCGGCCGTATGATACGATAATAGCTGCCTACAGTTCCTCTCGCTTCCCTTAAAGCGACACTACCCACCTGTCTGCATACATATCGAACAAGACAGACCTAACCATTTCAAACGGTGCTCGAAACTGACAAAGACCACGTTAGCGTTAACAACCACCATCCAAGATGAAAGCAGCCTTGATAGTTGTCGACATGCAAGAGGACTTCTGCCCTCCGGTCCGTACCCTCCCCATCCCTCAACTACACCACTCTATACTAACAACCTCAACCAGAACGGTTCCCTCGCCGTCAACGAAGCCCGCACCCTCGCCCCGACAATCAACACCCTCCTCTCGAACCCAGGCTTCACCCTCCGCATCGCATCCCAAGACAGCCACCCACCGAACCACATCTCCTTCGCCCCGAACCACCCCCCGCCGAACAACCTCCCCTTCGAGCACTTCATCGAGATGAGCAATCCCGCAACAGGCAAAGAAACCGAGACCAAGCCCCAACGGCTCTGGCCCGTCCACTGCGTAGAGGGCACCAAAGGCGCGGAAATCATCCCGGAAATCGACACCAAGAACATCGACCTCTACGTGCGCAAGGGCATGGATGCGCGGGTGGAGATGTACTCGGCGTTTGCGGATGCGTTTGGGAACCTCGATGCGGAGGTGAATCGGTCGTCGGTGGATGTGCATTTGAAGGGGGCGTTGGAGGAAAAGGGCATTACGGATGTGTTTTGTGTGGGTGTCGCTGGGGATTATTGTGTTAAGTGTACGGCGATTGATGCTGCGAGGGCTGGGTTGAGGAGTTATCTTGTTGAGGATGCGGTTAGGTGTGTTGATCCGGGGGTGGGGTGGGAGGAGGCCAAGAGGGAGTTGAGGGAGGCTGGGGTGCTGGTTGTTAGGTCGGATGGGCCGGAGGTTAGGGGGTTGTTAAGTGGGATGGTGTAGGGGTTGTTGTGAGTTGAGGATTATGTGTATATGTGTGTATGGATGTGTTGGTAGTTGTGAGATGGGTGGGATGCTTGACGTGCATAGTGTATGTATGTGGTGTGCTTGTGCAGGTGTATACCTGGTGTGAGCATCGCAGCTCTGTACGGGGTAGGGACTGAGCTATAGATAGATCAAGATATGCCAAGTCGTACTACTATCAATGATCTAGTGGATATAGATACATGGCCTATAATAGTGACTCTAAGACATGTTTCATCTGTAGCTATACGAGACAAGGAATAAGAAAGGACCGTGGATAGCGACAAGTTCAACCCTGGCAGAACAATCTGACAGGTCTCCACAGTGGAGTTGGGGCGGACGTTTGCAACGGCTTCCAAGAGATCACCGGCTGCTCAGAACGCAGAAAAGTGAAAGGGAGTTGATAGATAGCTACGATGAATGGGACATCTGACGATACTCGCGTTGGCTTATATTATTCCATCGCGTTCGATTTGATTAGCTAGATATCCTTCTCCCCCTCTCCTTAATAACATGACCGTCAATCCCTTCTGGAATGGGCAGCGGGGCGTCGCGGCATCCCCATACTTTCAATAATCAATAACTCATCGCCACCGCATCCGGAACCGGTCACCGTTTATAATATCAGCTCTTACAGCTCGATCCGGTCGGTGCTGTTTCTGTTCTTTCTTGCTTGCTTCTTTCTTCCTTTTCACCGATTCGTTTTGTCTTACCTGCTGTCTGCCTTATACATTAGATGCTGTTCGCTTTATAGACTCTCGGACGTTCTTCCTCCTGCCACCGCTCGTCTATCGATAGAGTCAGACCGTCGCTATGTCGTCCGCTGCAACCTACACAACCTTTCACGAGGGAATCCACTCTCCGGATGTGAAAGCCTCGACCAAGATACTCAGTCCGACAGCCAGCCTTGCTCCAAAGACCTTACCGTACTGGCTTGTCAATGTACCCCGCTCACAATGGACAGCAGAATGTCCCAGCTATCTACGCGACATGTCGCAGAAAAACATCGAGGTGCTTTCGACCCCTGACGAGCAGTACCGGAGGCAGGGGTGGGAGCTAGTCAAGGAGATCGTTCGTATGTTTCACCGACCAAATGAAACCGTGCGTCAGGGGGGAAGGACGTGGTCCGTGAGTGAGTGGTCCGCTAATAGATGATGGACAGGGTCCAACCAGATCGATCGGTTTCAGCGTCTTCCTAGCGATTTGAGACGGTATCTTGAGTTCAAGGAGCAGATTGTCGCGGAGTATGGATCGGTCATGCGGTTTGTCGTGAAGGAACGGCTTCGCTGGGGAGAAGGGACGGCGGATGATTTGAAGCCGAAGGGGCGGCCGTTTGAATATGATGGTTCGTATTCAATGTCCTCTTCCTTTTCGTTCCTCGAATGAGTCTTGGGCTGTCTGCGAGATGAGATGAGTGCTAAGCATGGTTGTGGTGGTTAGAGGATATTCGAATTCTTTACAATGACTGGCCATATGGAGTCGAGGAAGGCATTGTTCACTTGGTGGTGTGGACAAAGTTCGAGCTGGAGGATGATCCGGTCACGGATGACCTGACGCCACGCGCACGACAGGAGATTGAGGAGTATGTGCAACGGACGTTTCTCTCACGGATGCCAGCCGATCAGGTATGTATTGGTTAGAATGTTGGAAGGAATGCGCCAGGGGGCGGTGGTGGTGATGGGTGATGCTTCTTTTCAAGATACTAATACGAAGGGTAGGTCATCTGGTTCAAGAACTGGAAGTCACTAAAGTCAGTGCATGCCGTGGAGCACTTCCATGTCATGCTGCACCATCCCGATGCGGAATTCCTACGGGAGATCACAGGAGGGGATGCTCCGCTGAAACGACAGTCGGCATGAGTCGATACTAGATAGAGAGATGGATTGATTGATGGTTAAGGGATAATCCGGTATAGAGATAGACGCGATGGGTAGATGGGTCCCTCAGACTAGGATCTGAAGGAAATTGTAATAATCACCAACTATTATAGGAGGCCAAGGAAGTGATCATCGGCATTGCTTGATGCTTGAAACATGAGAAGAAAAGAAAAAGCAAAGCAAAGCGATGGGCTGTCAACCGTCATCCCCACTGCCAAGCCTGTGTGCCCCTCTTGATCGCGAGTCCAGTGGGAAATTTTGACGGCGATCGGGAGTTGGAAGATGGTTGCGGTCTGTAGCATAAGAACCGGCGAGGAAAGAGTAGATATCATATACTTATAAGCCTTCAGGAAGATGCCGTGTCACCAACCAAGAGTATATTACATATACAATTATACACTGGAGGCGAAAAGAGCCACCGTGGAAAGAAAAGCCCTCAGGAAAATCCGAATCAAGGCAGTTTCCCATCAACGTCATTCAGCTCCAGTTTCAGTAGCAATCATCCATCCGGATTCCCTCACACTCACCGTCTCTTGTGTCCCCTAGAGTTAGAGTTAGTAGTATTTATTAATAGAGAGAACTTCCCGACACTACGGCTTTCCCTCCTAATTTTCTGCAGAATTGATTGTTGGTTTCAGGAACTTGATCCCGACGCTGTCCGTCCATCCCGACATTGAAAGGCATTCTTTGGAGTGATTGATTGTCTCTTCTGCCACTTATCCACATCCATTGTTTTAATTAATTAATTTAAGAACCCCCAAGTGACACCACAATTCAAATTCCTGCCCAAATCCCCTCGAGAATCGAGTCACTTTATTTTGTACGCCGCAGTCTGGTTGCATCGGTGTCTCCTCTTCATCCCCCCGTGTTGTACTTTCTCACACCAGCAAAGTTAAAAGGAAAAACAAGAAGTACAAGAGTCAACCACAATTACCACCACCATCACCACCAGAGAATCATTATTAGATCAAATCAGTACAACAGTACCACGGAACGCCATGCCCATCTCCGTCCCGCACATCCGCCGACGGTCATCGCTTGCCAGTGAGTGAAGTTTGTTGCCGTCATCCGGTCGAGACTCTCCCCTCTTTTTTTTTCTGTTGCTGCTGCTGCTGCTCCTCCCACGTCATTCCTGTCTGGCTGCCTCAGTCACTCTCTAACTACTGCTGCTGGCTGCCTCAACATCCCCCTCTCCGCCGCCCTTTTCTCTCTCTTCCCCTCCTTGGCTCTTTCTCTCTCCTCCGACCGGCTGTCTTTTCACCACTTCCTTTCCACTTCGCGCATTTCTGCTGCCCACCATCATGTCTGCTGACTGGGGCTCTTTTTTCCATGTTTCAGGTAATCGTTCACACGATGAGCCCAAAGCTGAGCCCGTGAGCGGGGACGACGAGATCGTCGAGCCCGACCAGGGAAATGGTACGTAGCTATCCCCCTCACTATGACCAAAAAGAAGAAAAGACAAACAACAAAAGAAAATACCACTGCAAATACCTAGTCTTTTCCCTTTTCCACTGACCTGTTTGTAGTTCTTTCCCACATTATCTCGCAGCTCCGACCGGGAGCTGACCTGAGTCGGGTCGTCCTGCCCACTTTCATTCTCGAACCCCGATCTATGCTGGAGCGCATCACCAAGTATGTCGGAGTATCCGCATCGCATGTGAAGAAGTAGCAGCTAACTGATTTCCTCTGCATCCAGCTTCATGGCGCATCCCGAAACACTGCTTCCTATGCCAACCATAGATGACCCCCTAGAACGATTCGTTTCCGTCGTCAAGTTCTATCTCAGCGGATGGCACATCAAACCTCCGTATGTTGTCGCTCTCCTTGAGATGGTTTTATTCCACCAGTTCCGGTCTTGCTGACACCCGTCCCAGAGGAGTAAAGAAGCCGCTGAATCCGATCCTCGGAGAGACTTACACCTGTTATTGGGACTACCCCGACGGTACCCGTGGGTACTATATCGCCGAGCAGACCTCTCACCACCCGCCCAAATCGAGCTACTTCTTCATGGCACCCGAGCACAACATCCGGATAGATGGCACCTTGAAACCCCGCAGTAAATTCCTCGGAAACTCGGCCGCTAGTATGATGGAGGGTATCGCGATCCTGCGGTTCTTGAACCGCGGACAGGACAAGGAGAAGGGCGAACGATAGTAGGTGGACCTGCCATCCGCGCATAAGGACAGCTCTAATCTGGCCTAGCATCTTGACGCAACCGAACATGTACGCCCGCGGCATTCTTTTCGGGAAGATGAAATACGAGTTGGGCGACCACAGCTACGTGCGGTGCCCCGAGAACAACCTCGTTGCCGACATTGAATTCAAGACCAAGGGCTACTTCTCTGGTACTTACAACGCTATCGGTGGGACAATCAAGAACGAAAAGACCGGCGAGGTATACTATGAACTGTCCGGTCTCTGGAACGGCGAGATGCACATCAAAGATGTTCACGTAAGTTCTCCTCCCTTACACGGAGGACTGTCAATCTAACTCGAACAGACCCACAAGAAGGACTTGCTCTTCAACGCTACGCATGCGAAGCACACCCCTCCCTTGACCAGACCTATTGAACAGCAGGGCGAGCGCGAGTCGCAGCGACTGTGGCAACCCACCGTGAAGGCGATCATTGCTAGGAATCATGAGGCAGCTACGGATGAGAAAACCAAGATTGAGGACCGCCAAAGAGAAGAGGCGGCGAAGCGTGCCGATGATGGCGTCGAATGGCACCCCCGGCTGTTCCGACGGGTGCAGGGCGGGCCCCACGGCCCCGATGAGGGAGAAGAGGACCTAGACTGGATCATCAATGCACACGTGTAAGTTTCTGTGTTTACATCGGAAGTATAACAGGACTAACGACCCCAGCGACTCGCACAACCCCGAGCTCGCTGCCAAACAGATTCTGGCCATTGCCCCGATCCTCGAAGGTCAGACAGAACCCACCCAGTTCCAGATTCCCGCACACAAGGGTAAGGAGTCTGCTGCGACAGCCGATCCAGCCGATGGCGCTGACTCCGCTCAGAGCGAGCCTAAGAAAGAAGCAGAAGAAGCCGTCGAACGCAAGGACTCACGGACATCGGATGTCGATGCCTACGTCGATGCCAAGGAGACATAGGTGTAACTGACTTCCTGGATGGCTCCAGTTGACGATGACAAGTCGTTGAACGAGCTGAATATCCGGAGGGCAAGTGACCTATAAGTGAGGCACAATTCAGAAGAGCGAAAACCATGAAACTTCAAAGAACCGAAAAGCAAGGAAATGGTAGGTCGAGCCGTCATTCAGATCAACATAATTGACCTGCTCGAGGATTCCAACGCGAGAAACAAGGGAAAGAGTCCGGCCAACCACAAACATTCAACACACATCACTCAACACACCCACCATTTCCATCAGAATACTATACTGGATACCCGATTGATTTAATATGCAGAGACTGCGACAAAAGTTGAAAAAAGAACGGACAGGGGAAGGCCTCCAGGACGGACCGGAGCACGGGTGATGGGCAAATTCTTGCTTACTATATGTGGATATACATATCATCATCTGGGACACCATGACGTGGGATGGGCATTGATACAGCTAGCGTTTAGGTGATTGATTTTTAGCATTAATATAGACTATGGTTGTGGATAATGCATAATTTTGACTTTAGTAACTATATCTCTATGCCCAGTTGGCCAGCCTTAAGTTGGGAATCTCCAGTATTCCACACACAATACATGACACGATAGTTCAACAAGCCATACTGTATGCAATCCAAAACCATTACGCACGCCCTAGTCATGGTAAGTAAGTATAATGAACACGAACCTTAAATAACTAATAAACAAATCTCCCCCCAGAACGAGCAGAGCTCCTGAATCCACATGCAACTCCCAACCCGGAGTTTCACCTCCTACCCAGTCAGATCTATCCATCATGAAGAAAGAAGCAAATGAGAGAAAAAAAAAAAAAAAAAAAGGGAAAACTCAAAATTGTAGACATTTAAGCCTTGATGTAACGGTGAAAGGTGGATTGGTTACGTAGTAGTTATGTATGTATGCATGCATGTGATGCTTGTTTGTTTACATTTTCATTGTATTCTAGTCATGGTTATCTTTACATTGACTTTCTTCTTCTTCTTGCTTTTAGGGTATAGAGTAAAGTATGTGTGGGAGGATGGATGGATGGTATCATTATAAAGTATGGTGTAGGTAGAGTGGGGAAGGAATCTAGATCGATTTGTAGGTTGGTCTGTAGGTGAGTGTTATGTACTAGGGGGAGACTTATTACAAGGTAAACAGATAGATACTCGTAGTAATACTGTATATGGTATTAATCGTCACTCATTGCTGATTTTAAACTAACGGATTAGTAGTTAACTTGGGTATATAGGTAGTAGAACTAGACAAAAACCAATCCAGAACCCCGTGTCTCTAGCGACCTTGTAACCAATACTCCAAAAAAAGATAGATAATAATACTGATTATACCAACTGGAAAGTTAAGATGATTGAGTCAGTTTCTCCCGTCGCTCGGTATACCAACGCTCCAAGCATGCGCGTCTCTGCGCCTGTGTCATGCCCTCGACGACAAGGGCGAACTCGGTTGCGTTTGGGAAGCCGTATCGTCTCGCCATGCTGCAGAATTGGCGTTTCATGACACGCTTTGGCGGATGGAATTTGTATTTGATTGGTTGGTTGGTTGTAGATGATGATGTCTTTTTATGAGACTGCGATTGCGACTGCGATCCTGCAAATACTTGCATGTCTAGGTTCTTGGTATTCTCGTCGGCTAGTTCGGCGCGACGGCTGAGTCGTTCCTCGACTTTGGATGACCCGATGACTTCGTTGTTGAGGTGGGTGTATTCGACCCCTGCGCCGGCGAGGATGGCTTGGATGGGGTCATGTTTGGTGTTAATGGGGGTTTTGGGGTCGGTGGATTCTTCGTCGTCCTCGCCACGAATCATGGCTGCTAGCTGGCTCATGACTTCGTTGGTGTCGTCAGACTTGCCGGTGAAGGTTGTGTCGGAGACGTTGGGGTCAAAGTCTACGTCGATGTCCATAACCTGGACGCCGGCTTTGCTTTCAGCGACGTTTGTTTTGTTGACAATGTCGCGGAGAAGGATGTTCTGGTTCTTGTATTCGAATAGATTGTCGAGACCGAAAAGCTCGCCCTTTTGATCTTTCTTCTCCTGAACACCCTTGAAGTAGCGTCGTTCCGAGCTCGCGTTGTAGCCGATGTTGGCTTGCTGTTGTTTGTAGATCTGCCGGGCATAGACGATCTCTTCGATGGTTCCGGCGCTGATGAGCCGGAAGACTTCGACATCGCGAGATTGGCCGATACGGTAAGCGCGATCTTGCGCTTGAAGGTCATGCGAGGGATTCCAGTTAGGATCGACGATAACGACTTTGTTGGCTGAAGTTATGTTGAGTCCGACACCGCCAGAGCGAGTGGAGATGAGAAAGACGAATTGGCGTGGGTTGGAGTTGAAGTCGTCAACAACTTTAGTGCGCTCTTCATAGCTCATAGATCCATCGAGGTAGCTGACGTTGTAGCTGGTGTAGTGAAAGAGCATCTGGAGCATCTTGAGGAGGCGCACACTGTGGCTGAAGACAAGCACTTTGTCGCCATTGGCGTGCCACCACTTCAGCAGTCGGCGAAGGACCTTCCATTTACCGCAAAACTCAGGGTTTGCGTAGTTGACAATTGAGTCCCGGGAACGGTAAAGCTTTTCCCATTGCTCGGGCACAGCCAGTTCCAGCATCTCTTTGTCCTTTTCTTGTTTCTCGTTAGAGTCGACTCCCTGCGGGATGAGGATTGCTAGGTGGTTGCTGAGTTTCTGCAGCACTGCTATCGCGGGAAAGACATAGCTTCGCCAGGTGAGCCCGGATGGTAGAAACTGACGACAGCACCAGCCGGCTTTCTGCCGGGAACCACAGTCACAAGGGTCGCTGGAGTGTTTAATATAGCTGACCATGTCGCTTCCCAGAATGTTCACGTAAGCGTCAGCCTGAGTATCAGTGAGCGGACAGAAGACGACCCGGTCAACCTTCTTGGGGAGCTGGTCTGCAATCAGTGTCTTCATCCGGCGGAGGAAGAACTGCGGCAGGAGGTTCTCCACCAATTTCTTCGCCGTCTTTCGCGCTCTACGCAGCTGATGGACGGTAGCGTCGTGTGACTGACCAATCTTCAAGGGCTCAGAAATGGTCTTCTTCCAGACCGTTACCGGGCCGAGCATCCCTGGATTAGTCCAATTCAAAAGGGTCCAAAGCTCCTCGTATTTGTTCTGGATGGCAGTTCCGGTCAAGCCGATGCGGCAAAGAGCGTTGATCATGTTCATGGCTTTAGTCGTTTCCGACTTGCGCTCCTTGATAACATGACATTCATCCGCTATCACACAATCCCAGTCGACCATGTTGATAGCATCCTTGTTGTGGAGATAGGTACTATAGGTGGTGATCAAGATTTCCAGTCTTCCGGACCGCGCAGCTTGGAGCGCAAGCTCCTTATTCTCTCCATGGTAGGTGTCGAAATGCCACCAGCCCCAACGCGAAAATTCGGCCATCCAGTTCTTGAGAAGTGTCCCAGGGCAGACAATCAGCGTTCGGGGATACCACTGATCATGGCCGCTTCTCCGCATCTTTCTCATTCGCTTGGCGTCTCTCTCATCGCCTGTCTTCCCATACGCCGCTGTGAGGAAAGCAATAACCTGCACCGTCTTTCCCAGACCCATGTCGTCTCCGAGAATCCCACCCTTCTGGTAAACGAATAGCTCATGGAGGAAAGCAGCTCCATCGACCTGATACTGGCGCAACCACTGTGCGATCGGGGCGGGTATGAGTCCCAACGAATAAGGAAGAGTGATGTCCTTGTACTGATTGCATGGCTTCATATTCTCAAAAGTAGGCTTCTCTGCCAAAGATTCCAACCTCTCATCGTCGGAGAATTCAACATCGTCGTAACCTGGAGGCAGTTTCAGTCCGGATTGCTTCAAATACTCTGTCCTCCGGTCAAACTGCGATCGTCGTTTCTGGAGATAATCCGGTAAAGTATATTCCATCAGTTCATCCTCCGATGACACTTCCTCTCCGTAGACTCGTAATGGCCGTCTCGGTCGGGCTTTCCCCTCGGAAGTTGGGAGTCGGCCGACGATGGAATTTGAGCTTGCGACTCTCGTCACCTTAGCAGCTCTATTCTTCAGATTTGCGGTGCTCCGTTTCCGTTTCCTGGCCTTTCGATTCTTGAACTCCTTGTAAGCGGCCTCGCCCTCATTGAAGGAGTCATCTCCGCTGTCGGTGTCGAACACCTCCACGACTGCGTGGCTCTTCTTGTCGAGTGGCGAAGAGGATTGCTTGACCGTAGTTGGGATAGTATTTGTTGGCCGGCGTGGAGTCGTCACTTCAGACTTTGGGGCATTGCCTTTATCTATGATCATCGAGGAGTCAGATATGTCTTGTTACTAGGTATAGATAAGGTGCGGGGACAAACCAGCGACAGAAAGCGAAGTAGGCTGTAAGACCAACGGGCGTGTCCCGTCGAGATCATCGTCATCTGATCCGACCGTAGTCGCATCAGTATCCTCGATCTCCACGTGTGAGCCCATGTCTGCCTGAGCTCCGGCAGAGGCGATCTGGACCGACCGTTGAGGGGAAGGCTGAAGCAAGTGTAAGAGAGATGGAGATGCGGAGACGCGATGGAGTCAAACGGGCTTCCCGATTGGGCAAGCAGCTGACTGAAGAATTCCGCGCCGAAAAGTCAAACTCCGCAACCAATTCCCCTCTTCTCCGCCCATTGCTCGCCCTCGACTTGAAACTGAGCCTGCATACTACGTCGCTTTGTACCTGTGCTCGAACTGAATCCTCCGATCCGGCTTTCTTATTCCTTCGACAAATTTTGACAGCGCATGGTGCGGGGAACCACGCCAAAACTTCCTCCATCTTGATTTCGGCATACCGATTGAAGCACCTCCCAGTTCACAATGCCTCTCGACACATCCACAACATATCCCCTCACCAAGCTTCGCCTTGATGGCCGTCGCTGGAATGAGCTTCGACTGCTCCAGGCCCAGATCTCCACGAACCCCGCCAGTTCGGGCTCATCCTACTTGGCTATGGGCAACACCGCGATCCTGTGCTCCGTCCACGGTCCCGCAGAGGGACGTCGCGGTGATGCCACAGGTGGTGCTGCGGGATCAGCAGGTGCGGTAGTAGAGGTGGATGTCAATGTTGCAGGATTTGCTGGAGTGGATCGCAAGCGCAGAGCCGGCGGAAGTGACAAGTACGTTTCCCACTGTCGTCATGTCCATTGTGTCTGCTCTAACGGGTACTGACTAAATTCTTAAACAGACAATCTTCGCGCGTCGCAACGATACTACGCTCTGCTTTCCAGTCGCATCTTCATACCCACCTCTACCCTCACAGTACGATTAGCATCCACGTCTCGGTTTTGTCGTCAGACGGTTCGCTCCTCGCCGCGGCGGTCAATGCCTGTACGCTGGCGCTTGTGGATGCCGGTATTCCCATGCCAGGTCTCCTCTGTGGGTGTACGTCAGGAATGAGCGGCAGTGCGTCTACGCCGCGGGATCCGAATAATGACACATTGGATCCGCTGCTGGACTTGTCTCTGCCGGAGGAGCAGGAGCTTCCGTTCCTTACGGTGGGAACGACGACGGCTGTACCGGTGGGAGAGGCGGCTATGATTAACGAAGACGAGGACGAGATGAAGGTAGCAATGCTGACGATGGATTCCAAGGTGCATTGCACATACGTTGAGACAATGCTGGCGGTGGGAATTGACGGGTGCAAGCAGATCCGGGAGATCTTGGAAGGCGTGATCAAGAAGTCGGCACGCCGGTGATGACTTGGATTTGAATTCTGTTTCTTTATATCTGCTATCTGGGATCTTCTACAGGGCAGCGCGATAGGGCGAGTTCTGTTTATACCCAGTGATTGCCATGAGGTGTTGGGCGCGGCGGGATGGATCGTTTCAATGTGATATTTGAATATTCCAGCGAATACAGCCAAGTTGCTAATCATGATGTCTGTAGATGCTACCTTAGATGCTACCGTAGATGTCTGCTGTAGATGTCTGCAGTTCACTTGATTCACTGCATCTTCTGGGCCCACTGGTCAGGAGCTCCCTGCATAATGTGCTCAAATTTAGAGACCGTCTCCCTTGACGCGGCAGGGACTCTTCCTACTGATGAGCGCGTTATTACTGATTCATACTGAAATAGATGAGGGAGATTGATGTTTGTACAAGAACACGCTCCTGACATACACGTATCCAAAATCAGAAACCTAGTCCCTAACCTCTGCTATCTCTTCCTCACTGCTGATTCTTCTCTTCTTTAGTTAGTTAATCTGTCTCTATAGTCCTTACCATCTACCCTTCCATCCTTCCATTCATCCACCTCACTCATCAACCCTCAAACATCATAGACAACATGAACATGACCACAGAAACCACCACATCAGCCATAACGAACACCAGCACCACTACCACCATGGCCATGGCCATGACCTCTACCAACTGCAAGATCTCAGTACACCCCCCTCCCCACCACCTCCATCCCAAACCTGTACCTCCCTACTAACCACACGCAGATGCTCTGGAACTGGAACACCATGGACGCTTGTAAGTCATCCAACACTGCCCAAAGCCAAACCACCCACCCAGAACACTAACCCCAAGCAAAAGGCTTCATCTCCTCATCCTGGCACATCACCTCCCCAAACATGTTCGCCGGCTCCTGCATCGGAGTCATCCTCCTCGTCATATGTCTAGAACTTCTCCGTCGAGTTGCCAGCGAATACGATGCGTTTATTATCAACCGCGCCAGACTCAAAGCACAATCTTTAGATACTGATCAACCCAGCATCGCAGTCCCTAATGACCTTTCCACAGACAGACCCGTCAAAAGACCCTTCCCATGGACGCGATCAGGCTCACTTTCAGCTCTACCTCCTGTTCCGGAGTTAGTAGAGGAGGATGAACCAATGCCTAATGCGCCAGTAACTACATCACATCCTAGTATACACCCCGAGAACCAGTCAAGATTCATCTTCAGACCAAGCCACACCGAGCAACTCATCCGAGCCACATTGCATGTGTTGCAATTTGCTGTGGCGTACTTTGTGATGCTGCTGGGGATGTACTACAATGGGTATTTTGTAATTTGTATCTTTGTTGGGGCGTTTGTGGGGTTTTTGCTCTTTTCGTGGGGGGATCTTGGTACTAGGGAGTGAGGGATTACCTTATTACTGGATTGTGCTGTGCTGTCTGCTGGTATTGGTAGCTGACGATGAGTGTGTATGTATGTTCAGGATCAGGAACGACGCCACATCCGTGACTAGATGCTGCGGCTAGGTGGGTGGGTGTTGGAGCTTAGTTTGACGTGATGCTTTGTGGTGATATTGAGATGTTGCGGTGGGTATGTTGGAGGGGTGTGTGGTTTGAGATGTGTTGGGAGAGTGGATGGTAGGGTTAGGAGATGTTGTATGTGTAGGTATGTTGAATTCTTTCTTTCGGGGTGAACTACTTCTCAAGTGTGAGTACTATCAAGGGATAGCACCGGTGGTGATAGATCAATACACCTATCATGCATAAGACACAATGTTACTTAGAGTCTGGATACAATATGCCTGTTATAAAGACTACACGTTTTGACTATTCTCTCATTAGAATGGAGAAAGAAATACTACTGGATAATATGATGATATCATAAACTATCTCTAGATAAGATAATGCCTGAGAATCACCCATATCACAACTTATAGATAGAATACTACATAAACATCATGAGAAGTGTGTTTCTCACTGAATGATTCAAATAAATGGGACTCTTGAAACTAACACCACTACGCCATACTCCCTCCCCGATCACATCATACTTTAGCTCACTTAGCCCAGCTGAGCCCCCAGCCTTGGCCAGCTCTCAACCCCTCACTTTCACCTTACTAACCTCTCTTCCAAGGTAGTTAGTTAACTTACGTATACATACCCATCCATCTAACTATGGAAACACTATGCAGACAGACAAAATACTATATTTAAGTCCCAGTCATATGGCCAGAAAAGAAGGAACAGGATAAATGAATGAACAAAACACAGACCTGCTCACAACTGCCCTATGGTAAAGATAGTAGTCTCATTAAAGCCACCTGCATGCAACACAGCAGCAAGCAGCAGCAAGCAGCAAGCAAGCAAGGAATAGGAATGGGAATGCGAGCCGGCCGTATTCGGAACCGGGAAACCAATCCGAGGTTCGAATTGCACTGCTTTGCCCCCCTCCCCTCCCCACCGGAGAAAAAAGAGGGTTGAAGTGTGTTGGAGCGGGGTTGAGTTGTTAGTAGGACGGGTTTAGTGCTAGTCTAGGTTGCCACGTTCGGTGGGATGTTTGGCTGATTTTAGAGGTAGGTTATGTAGGGATTTCGTCACTGTGTGGTTATTTACGAGGTGGATAACTCTGATCTTTCTATCAATACTGTAAGATGTAGAGAAGTGCATATAGTTACTGCAATACGATGGTACAAGCTTGAAAGGAAACTTATTGACAATTGGTATGGACACTCTAGATTACACCGGGTAGGGAGAAAAAGAATTGTCCACCATTAATCCTCACAATGCTGGGTTTACACCAGCTCGTGGGATGATATCCCAATTTTGCCATCTGTTATCCTTTGAAAACCGCTTACAACTCACCGCAGTTGACGATGGTGGGCTTGACGTTGGAGCGGATGGAGCCGGAGGAGGAGCCGAGAGCCTCGATCTCCTTCACGACCTTCATGGACTCGTCATCGGCAACCTCACCGAAGACAACGTGCTTGCCATCGAGCCAAGAGGTGACAACGGTGGTGATGAAGAACTGGGAGCCGTTGCTGCAGATGCTGTTAGCTGTCTGAAACGTAATTTTTACGAGTGACAGTAGAACTTACGTGTTGGGACCAGCGTTGGCCATGGAGAGGAGACCGGGTTTGTTGTGCTTGTAGATGAAGTTCTCATCGGCGAACTTCTCACCGTAGATGGAGCGACCACCGGTACCCTGGATGATGATATCAGTCAAATCGTTCTCTCCCACACAGCCGCCCACGGAGGCGGATCAAAAAAAGCGGGATTACTCACGTTGTGGCGGGTGAAGTCACCACCCTGGAGCATGAACTGGGGGATGACACGGTGGAAGGTAGAGCCCTTGTAACCCTCACCCTGGGGCTTGGTGCAGAGCTCACGGAAGTTGCGGGCGGTCTTGGGGACGTCCTTCTCGAAGAGGTTGAAGATGATACGGCCCGTCTTGGCTAGAGAGCAGGAAATAGCGCAAAGTCAGCCAAAGGATCCAGCAAGCATTGAGATAAATGCATTCAATCCAAGATGAAAAGAAAATCGCGATTGTGGGAGAGTCCTCGATGGAACGCATCCCAGCATTCCCATTTTCTTCACAAAGAGGGGTAAAACCATCCACGCAGGAAAAAGGGTGACAACAGCAGCGAAGGACGACGAAAAGAAAAAGAGGACAACCTACAGGCACTGGAGCCCACGGGGGCGTACTGAACGTCAAAGAAGGCTTGAGTGTTTGTAGACATGGCTGCGGATGATTGATGGAAAGGACGAAGAGAGAGGAAGGAAGATTGCTTGCAATTGGGGATGGAGAAGAGGGGACGAGAAGCGAAGGGCGAGCAAGGTGGGGTTATTGTTGACCTCAGGCTTCGGGAGAACATTGTTGCTGGAGGGGCACTGGCTGGCTAACCGCTTCCGTCCTGTGCGTCAGCCCATGCGCGCCAATCATGCAACTTGCCAGGCCATCCGCCGTGGGCCTCAGGCCGCTCCGTGGAAGAACATGGAAGTCCTCCGACCGTCCAGTAGTGAAGTGAGTAGCTACCAGCTACTCTAGTAGTAACTTAAGTAGCTTGCTCACTCCAAAGCAACCGGACCAGGGGGGGGGATAACTGCCATTGGTCCCCTTATATCATCGGGGACGGCCAATGGAATCGGGATGCATCACTTACAGTACTATCTAAAGAAAAGAATTGAGGTAGAAAAGAATAATATCTCGTCTCACGAATTGCGGTAGCTGGTTGCTTGCTGCTTTGCTGGCGTGGAGAGCAAAAAGAACTGGAGAAACCGCGTCGGACAGCGGAGGAAAATATTCCTGCTACTGCCCCAACCGGGGATAGCTTATGATTAGCTAAGACCCGGTTCGGTCGGAAGCTTTCCAGAACCAGAAATGGTTCTCACCTCTACAACAGCGCTAAGACAGCTGGTCGGACACGTGATTGACCACTCACCACCTGTTTACTATGTAGTAAGGCGATTCTTATAGTTTCTCTGATATCTACCAGGGAAGCTGTCAACATTTACTACTCCATTCATCGCGGAAAGCTATGGCCGCAGCCAATCGTATACCACCATCACCAAATCTATCTATCGAGCCATCTAAAAGGACTCCAGGAAAACAATAACCACGGCACACAAGAGAAAGAAAGACCCCCGTATGGTCAATATCAGAAATCAGAAAAGAAGAAGTAATTCCGGGGGAGGTTGAACGTGTAAAGAAAATGCCGCAGTATAAATTCTGAAAGAAACACGAAATCAGTCCAGTCCTACAAGGACCATCATGCAGAAAGGAAGAAAAAAGCGCTAATCAAATAGAAGCAGAGAAAAATATCAACCGCAAATCCAAAATAAATCAACAGAAGATAAAGAAAGGGAGAAGCTGAATAAAAGTACATCGCTCCTGAAATCAGGGTGCGTCTGGGAGAAAACAAAATCTGTCGTAAAGCTCCACCAGATTACAACACGTCGTTCCACATGGTTGCTCGTTGTCATGCGTGATAACTGCAAAAGTAAGGAAAGCGAGATTGCAAGGTCCAGCAGTTCGGTTGGTATCATGGTGCCAAATCAGCATGCTAGAAAGAGATAGAAGTGAAAAGAGAATAACGCCACTGCGATTCTCGGGCTGAAGAAGCCTAGAAAGAAACAATATCATGATGACCCTCAGGCGGATAGACTATCGAAAATCGTCCTCCTCCTCAAGGCTCGCGGGGTCCAATTGATGAGCAAGCTCCTTGGTTACCCGGGGAATCTCAAACGCAATGGGTGGAAGCTTGTTGGTTACTTCTCGGAGCCCCTCAGGACTGCTAGAAGCCTCACCCTCGGCCGCGGCGCCTACAAGGCGGTGCTTGTGGTATTCCAGCATCTCGAGGACAGGATCAATGCGTTGCCGAAGAGCCGGGCTAGCCTCTGGTCTCTTGACGAAGTGTTGAACCGACGAGGTAACATTCGTCACCACAGAAGAGATAGCAGAGACATGGGTGCTGATCGTGGTCAAATCACGATCGGCTCGAATGCTGTCGATGAGGGCTTGGATTGACTGAACCAGGCCATTTGTCTGATCCTCAACGTAAAGCTGTCGCCTCAGTTAGCACACATTACCAGTATCTAGAGATATTATAACTTACCTTCATCTCCTGAAGTTCGTGGTTCTCGGCTTGCGCGCTGTAGTCTTGCACTGCCACCGAAATTCCGTGGGGAGCGTCAGGCGGGGGGCTCATGGCACTGTAGACGGAATCATTGCGACTGTGTCGGCTTTGACTAGGAGCCACGCTGAAGTAGTCCGGGGACTTCATCTGACTAAACTGAACCTCGTCGTCGTCCTCATGGGACTCATCAGGTGGAGTGGATCGGATCTTGACGAGGCGTATGAGTTCAATAACAGCAGCCGACAGATGAGAAGCAGCGGCATCCAAAAGGGAGACAGGTGAAAGCCCGTTGGACTTGACGAAATTCTTGGCTGCCGTGATCAGATTGTTCGCGGTGGTAGAAAGCTTGCTTATAGCCTTCGAACGCAGTGCCGATGACCCATCGCTTGGATCTTGGCTTTCTTGCACGTCCTGCAGCATATGCCGTACCGCCATAACAACAGCATTGATCTGGCGTGTCACGACATGGTAATCTTCATGGCGTGCATTATGTAGCAGCTCGTCAATAGATATCTGGAACTTCGCGACATGAACATCCTTGACCAAGCCATTTTCATGGAAGATATCACGATCCCTCGTAAGAGTTGCGGCATCGGAACGGATTTCTGTCCCGATAGATGATGTGCGAAGGTGTCCTGCCTGCGCCTTTGCCTTCTCATAGCGGGTCTTCCATTGTTTGACTTGTTCCTCCAATCTGTGAACCTCGGTCGTAAGTTGCTCCTCGTGTTCCCACCGAGACTGGCTTTGCTCGGACAACTCCCTCATCTCCCTCAGGAAGCCAGCTGCCTCCCGTCTGACCTCTTCTGTCACTGACCGCTGCTCTTGCAGCTCAGTCTGCAGGCTTTGATGCTTGATCTCAAGATCAGCAAAACGGGCCTGCAGCTCTGGATCACCAGTGCTTTGGCGTGATGCTTCTTCCAACTGGCTCCGGAGGTCCTTTTCGATGGCCTCATGCTCGGCCCGAACCTTGTCCAATTCCAGCTGCAGATTGCTGTTCAGATCCTCAGCCTGGGAGATTTTGCTCTCCAGATCCGACTTCAGATCCTCCCATTCTTGCCGTTCGCTGCTAGTGACCTGTGAATCCGGTTAGCAAGCGCAATCAATGGGAGTCGAGAAAAATCGTCTGCCTACATCTGACGTTGTTTGACTCTCTCGGTATTTAATGAGCTCCTCATCCTTGGACTTGACCAAGTCCTCCAAGGTCTCAACCTTGCTCTGATCTTCCTGGTACTTGGATATCTCCTCATCCTTAGACTTCAGCAGATCCTCGAGCTTGTTCACCTTATCCTGCAAAGCAGAAACCTGGGATTGAGTTTCCGCCAAAGCCTTTCTGTCGGCGTCTGCTAGAGTAGCCCCTGTCCCCCGCCGACTTTGCAGAACCACATCTAGAGCAAATGCATCGCTCCGCGCATCATAATCGTCCTCCGTACCTGCTCCATCATCATCGTCCTCGACCATAGTACTCTTGTTCGGGACAATAGTGTTGCTTTGGAATGATTTAGCCATTGGACCATCACCGTTCATGCCTGGCGGCGGCCCACCAAGTGACCCTTGGCGTGGGGGATACATCGGACTTGCTGGAGGTCCACCAGAGGGATAGCCCATTCGAGACGGAGGGCCACGAGACTGCGAACGCGGCCCTCCCGGCGTCGGGGGGTATCCGTTCGGTGGATAGCCATTGGATGGCCGTCCGCGGTAGCTGGGAGCCGGACTCAACCGACGAGATTCCCTAGAAGGGAATTGAGGAAACCGTCGCTCTAACTCGGTATAGACATCCGTCGCGAGATCTCGGAAACGCTGGTGCTGAAGCGAAGCAAGCTTTTGGCGCGCCTGATTGCGCTTTTCATGGAAGTCCTTGCGCGGTGGCAGGAACGGGGGAATATCAGGGCGAGGGGGTCGGTTCGGAGCCGGCATGGCTGCTTGTCGCCGGAGCAGTTCATCATAAACATCGGTACTTAGTTCGTGAAATTGAGTGGCGGAGAGTCGTAGCAGCTTGTCGCGGGCTTTGCTTGACTTGTTTGCTCGATCATCACGATGGGACGCATGAAGGAACCTCCTGAGGGCAACGTAGTGCTGGCCTAGGACCTCCTCCATCCGCTTGTGTCGCTTGCTGCGTTGATCCGACAAAGTACCATCGCTCGATCGCGCTGCCACCGAGCTCGGGGGAGAGGGATTCCCGGCATCGCTGACCGGGCCCGATGAACCGTTTGTCAGTCCTGCGCCATTTGAACCGCTGGGTACGCCGGAGGTAGGGGGTGTGGCAAGGGCGCTGCGAGTCGAGAAGGTCGGGGAGAAAGGCGGATCCGATTTCTGATACTGATTGATGCCGGACCAGTCACTCCCGTCCACGGAGACAGGCGACATAGTCCCGGAGGGAGCGTTCATAGGGGGGTTTGCTGTCGGTAGGCCCGGGGGCTCCGTGCTCGCTAACAGGAAGGGGAGATATGGGTCGGTCCAAAGCCAATATGCTTATGCTTATCACTATGCATCCGAGGTAGGGTGAGGTTGCGACTCCAAGGCCATTGATGAGGACTGAGTATAGGTATCTGAAAATCGGAGGATTTCGCTCGTGGCGGGTGATAAGGAATGGACGGCCGCTGCGACTGGGAGGGGGCTAATGCTTCCTCCGAACAGAATGAAAACAAAGGAAGGAGGAATCCGATGCGGAATGTAGAATAGAACGTGCCGGAGGCACCTGTGTCAACAGAAGTCGGCACGGAGATACGACCGGTCACCAACAGGCATACCAAATTAAATAAATTAAATTGTAGCGACCACGAAAAAAAGACCTAAAGCGGCGGCCTTTGGGGAAGGGGAAAGGAAAATAGATCAGTAGGGATTGGACCCAGGCAGAAACAAGCAGCGGGAGAAGCAGCAGCCACCGCCGAAGTTGACCTGGGTTTGGCGACGCCCCAAGGAGTGGAGTTTGGAAAAAGGGCCGGACTAGGGAGTGGCCGAACTTCTTTGGGGGGAGAAGGACTTGGAACCCAAGGGGGAAAAGGTTGAATGAATGACTGAATGACTGACTGACTGAATGAATGGAGATGGATGAGAGATGGGCTAGGCTAGAAAGATGGAGCCGGGGGGGGGGGAGACGGGCGGAC